ACGACAGTAGTGTTGTAGGTACCGTCGTAGTACACTCCAAAATAATAAGTCGATAAATTAATCTCTCGCGTCATGGTATATATTTTAACACGTCGTTTTTTTGTAATATACCGACGTGGATTCCATAAAATTATACGACGTGGAATCCATTACAGAATAACCGACGTGGTTTTTTACAATTAGACGGCGGTGTGTCTATAAGGACTGCCGTGAGTTTTAAAGATTTATTGTATAAATTTGACTCTTTCTTTCAGTTTCAGTTTTCATTTAGGGTTCCAAGTTCTTCTGATCTCTCTGGAGGCTCGTCTTCCTCTCTCACATACACACATACATCATCACTCTCTCTCACATCTCAAAGACAATAATTTGGATGTTAATGATGTATGCGTTTTGGTGTATCTCAAAGACACCAAGACGCACACATCATTAACTTTCAAAAAATTGTCTTTCTCAAAGTTTGCAGTGGTCAGTTCAGTTCTGGTTTCTTTTTGGATTTTGTGTATTTAAAATATTGTCTTTCTCACTTTGGTGGTTCGATTATGATCAGGATCCAAAGATCTCAAAGGTAAGATATCATACCTCTTGGGATCTCATTTTAATTTTCGTAGGCTACCAAAATTAAAAAATAATTAAATCTTAAAAAGAAGTAAAAATTAAGACGGCCTTTTACAGAGAAGGCACCGTCGTAGTATACCGACGTGGATTCCATTATATTATACAACGCGGACAAAGAACAGTTGGTCGTGTTTAGTTAGGAGTTAACACATCAGGTTTTTTGGTGAACTGTCGTCTTTATTTTTTACGTCGGTGGATTCATACCTGTTGTCGTTGTTTTTTGGTCATATTTTAACTCTAAGAAAACCTTTTTAAAAAGACGACACTTTTTTATTTGTGTGTGTCGTTTTTAAAAAATATTCAACAGTACCTCCATTTTTTAGTTGTTTAAGGCACTTATCCATGACGGTTATTTTGTTACCGTCGTCTTTTTCTGGTCGTCTTTTTCTCTTTTTGTAGTAGTGTAATAAAACTTGTTAAATCAAGTAGCATAGAGATATAAGAACATAACAAGATAAGAATCATAAATATATAAAAAATGCTCATTGAATTACTGCAGCCATGCAATATAGCCAGCTTACATATTCTCCATACCTCCGCTAATTCAACGATATGAGCGAGGGTAAGGTATGCCAGATAATCATCCTTGCTTCCAACGCCAGGAACAATGTTCATGATAGCCGAAGCTACAGCTAGCACATTAGCATGTGTCATCATTACACCCCGAAGAAACTACGTCCATTAGATAAGACTCGAGGTGCTTCTTAAAAAAATATAAACAAAAACTGCACTTAACGAAAGACAACAAAATGTCTATAAATTGTAAACTTCGGAAAACACAATGACCAATTTGGCTAAATTTTTTTCTTAATGACCAAATTGAATTTTTGTGTAAAACTTGGTAACCAAAAAGGTATTTCACTCTAAATAAAACAAAGAATGATTTTAAAAAATTTATATACAGAAATCGAGCATGGAAAAAAGATCTATAGTATCTCAAGACTTAATTCAATACATTGTTTTTTTTTTTTTCTTATCTTTTAGAATTAAAAAAGATAATGGGTAGTTGTGTTCCACAAAAATAGGACCCCATTATCCAAAAATTTTTTTTTTAAAAAAATTTTAATATGAAAAAGCATGAATTTACCATATTATCCTCATTTAGTTAATAATTTTAATTCTTAATATTTGCATTAACCAAGGCACTACTACAAAAAGGGCAAAAGACGACCAGGAAACAACGACGGTAGATCAAAAAACCGTCGTTGTTTTTTAAAAGACGACGGTAATAGAAACCCGTCGTAGAAACATAACTTAAACACCTAAAAAACCGGTATACGCATAGATATTTTTAAACCACGACGCACCAAATTAAAAAAGCGTCGTCTTATTACAAAGCTTTTGTTCCGAGTTAAAATCTGAACCTAAAAACAACGACTGTAGCTATGAAATCACCGCCGTAGAAAGTAAAGACGACGATTTAAAAATAAGACGCCGTGTTAATTACAAAAAAATTCGCCGATTTAAATTAAGTTACCACGACTGTAAATATAAATTTATCGACTTTTTAATTACAGTATACTACGACGGTATCCATAACTCTACTGTTCGCATAATTGTACTAACCACGACGATTTGTTAAATTAACGACGTACAAATTTTTTACCATTATACGTCTATCATTATCTATAAACCGTCGTCTTAATTTTAATTGCTTTTTAAGATTTATTTATTGGATTTTTTTTCCTACGACGGTAGATAAACAGTATGACAAGATTTGTGATAACCCACGACGATTTATATAGGAAATCGTCGTCACAATTAAATTAAAGTGAAGTCTTACCAGAATGAACTCTGTTCCTCATCATAATCGAACCAACACACAAAGGCAATATTTTAGAAATGGATGATGTGTGTGTCTTTGTGTCTTTGAGATACACAAAGGCACACACACATCCACATCCAAAACATTTGCTTTTAGAAAAATGACGGCCGCAGCAGAAAGACAATTTTTTAGATGATGTGTGCATGTTTGTGTCTTTCAGATACACAAACGCACACACACATCAACATCCAAACTGAAAAATGAAAGCGAGGTGGGACAGAGAGGTGATGTGCCTCCAGAGAGGTGAGACAAAGCCAAGGGCAAGAAGAAGTTGAAACCCTAATTGAAAAATGAAGACGAAAGAAAGACAGAAAAACCCTTATTTATAAACTAATCTTATATACCACGTCGGTTATATTAAATTATCGACGTTTATATGAAAACATAAACGTCGTTTAAACCTAAAATAAGGTTGTATAAATTAAT